CACACACACACACACACACACACACACACACACACACACACACACACACACACACCTGTCTATGGAGCCCTTGGCTCTCTCTAAGCTTGGTTGTTTGCCTGCAGATATTTCATTACCAGACTAGATATCTACAACCAATGCTTCTTCTCTGACATTGGGGAAACTCGTCTACTTAACATTTGCAAAAAGAAACACACACACAGACATACTTGCCTGTCTGTAAGAAGATTTCTTACAGAATAGCCATAAAACGAAATATAATGGATAGGAGATGAAGCCAGGAATAGGGCATAGCTGTCTAGAATGCTGAATAGACGCACTCTGTATTGCAACATTTTGTTTGAGGTCTCACCTTCTGTTTTGAAACATCCAGATATACATATACATATATATCCTTATTGCACATGAACCAATTTTATTAATATATTTATAGGCAATTATTGTCCCTTATGTGAGAAAAAAACATCACATAATGAATGATGACCAAAATAACAAATCCATTTGCACCCAAAGAAAAAAACAACTGCTTTTATTTTAGTGCTTTATCTTCAATCTCATTTGAGCTTTTTGAAGTGTTACTGTGATGTTGGCAACTTTGAAACATGCTAAATAAACATATCTAATAATAGGAGAGAATTGTACAACAATAAGAATTAATGCAGTAGGAAGTCCTTAATAGCTTCAAATATCCCACTTGGAGACCCTTATACTTTAATGCATTTTTCTTCAAAAAGCAATGTTAGATTTAAGTGGTAACATGCAGATTTATTAATATATGGTTTTTTGTTCTAAGTTGCAAAGTCGTGTCCAGTCCATCGGACCCCATGAACAACACTGTCTATGGGGTTTTCATGGCAAAGATACTGGAATGGGTTGCCATTTCCTTCTCTAATGGATCATGTTTTGTCAGAGCTCTCTACTAATGATCTGTCCATCTTGGGTAGCTCTGCACGGCATAGCTCATAGCTTCATTGAGCTATGCAAGCCCCTTCGCCATGGCAAGGCGGTAATCCATGAAGGGGTAATATATAGTTTTAGAAGCTGATAATCTTATAAAACCACCAACTTGTACATAATCAAAAGACACAATTTTTCTGTCATACATAACTCCTAGTGACAATGCCAACATTACTTAATATGCAGAGCATTGGGCTTGAAATCTTTCTAATTTTTACAGATAACCTGAGCTATAAGTGTAATTTATGATGGAAATTAAAAATAATACCTGAACCTTGTTAGCCATTCCATTATTGGTTTGATAGAAGGTATTGTATTTACTGGACTTTGTTTTAGTAAACAATCTATAATTGAACTTGGATTATGAATCTGTCAATGTTATAATAGCTAATGGATTTCTCATAGGCTGCTTCTGTTCTTTCTGGATGATTTTGCTAAAAACAGATTCATTTAGCTTACATACTTAGTGTATGTCTAAGCCAAAGAGACATTTAGTGATGGCAGTACAAAAGCAATATAATAAAATCCCCACAAGAAGAAGAATATATGACTGCTACTGGATCCAAAATAATATTTTTAACAGTAAGTCATCCAGAGTCATTGATTGAGATGGGCAGATTTAGAAACTGAATGAATAAATTTTATTCTGGTATCTATTTCTTTTCCAAAGTGAATTAACTCTTATAGACATCATGTATTTTTGTTGCATCAAAGTAAGTTTGAAAACTTAGTTCTTGGAAGTAGGCTTTAAAATTTATCTCCCAGTGACAGTATGCACAAGAAGACAAATAACCTCTGCTCAACTTTATATTTTGTTACTCATAAATCAAAACATATTTTAGCATCATTAAACATGGTACCCTAGACGTAGCTAGTATTCAGCAGAGACATAAATTGCTTTTGATTTGGATAAGATATGAAAGTTTAAAAATCTGCTGCCATTGATTTGATCAGCTACTTTTTTTGTTTGGTCAAAGGTAAGATCTCTCTCCCTTTCCCTCTCCCTCCCTCTCTCGCTCACACACACAGAGGACACTGAAATTGCCATTTAAATATTCAAGTTATTTTAGTTTTATTGTCCACATATTTAAAACATTGTTGAGGCTACCCATTTTAAAACCAGCTGAGCAGCTTAGAGTTGATAAAGCAATAAATACAATCATAAAACAAAGCCAAACCTCCCTAAAAAAAGTGTTTGGATTATCTGTACCAGGTAGTCGATTTACAGCAGTTCAAAATTACTAAAAGTGACTTACGACCACTTATGATCATTGCAGCATCCCCTTAGTCATGTGATTAACATTCAGATACTGATTCATATTTATAACACTTGTGATGTCCTAGGATCATTTGATCACCCTCTGTGACCTTCTGACAAAGTCAGTGGACAACTGAGATTCACTTAACAATTGTATTACTAACTTAACAACTGCTGTGAGTCTCTTAACCGTGGCAAGAAAGGTTGCAAAATAGGGTAAAACTCTGCTTAGCAGCAGAAATTTTAGGCTCAATTGTGATCATAAGTCAAGAACTACTTGTATTTTAAATAAATTTGCAGTGATGCAAAACACTAATTACAGTGTTGTGTAACTTGATTTTTCTTCTGTTTCCCCACAGTTTGTAGCCCACCCTAACTGTCAGCAACAGCTGTTGACCATCTGGTATGAAAACCTTTCAGGATTACGGGAACAGATCATAGCTATCAAGTGTCTAGTTGTGCTGGTTGTTGCACTGGGCCTTCCATTTCTTGCTACAGGATACTGGATTGCACCATGTAGCAGGGTAAAGAATTCTTTACCTTAAATTTTTTCCTTATATTTAAATTAATTAACTGTGAAAAATGCCTTTGTATGAAAGCTTCTCTTTAAAATAATGTAACTATTCTGGTTACCAAATTATTTTTTGTACAGTAGAAACCATCATAATATTTATTATTGATTTCTTTTACTTAGTATAGTGAACAGTTACTTTCCTTACCTTATCATTATTCTGTGCACAGATGATTCTGGAACATACCGGTATATAGGCTTATTTATATTTATGCTTTTGCACATGGATAGAAATCTCTTCCATCTTCCACAGGGCTAAAGGGAATGAGTCACACTGTATTTACCTTAGCAGCACATTTGTTCATAAAGGATGAAAGCAACCTTGCATTGTTTATGTATGTATGTATGTATGTATGTATGTATGTATGTATGTATGTATGTATGTATGTATGTATGTATGTATGTA